TGTTTATATACTGGGTGTTTGTGGATGCTGCAGGTATGAAGATGATCCAATAATTGGTTATCGATTATATCGGGAGATAAGGAAGGTTGATATGAAGAAAGTGAAAGGAAAAGGTTCCAATGTCCTTCCCAGTGCATCATATCAGTGGGAAACAGTTGCAACTAATTTCGATGAATTCCTAGATGTTTCTGTAAGATACTAAATTTCTTTGCCCATCTCTTTGTGTTACTGTGCTCTGTATTAGTATTGCCTTGCAAAACTTTTAGGGTTGGCGTCTGAGTTAGTTTTCATATTCAAATGTTTTTTGGATCCGAGCCTCTGAAACCAATTCTGTTGAGGAAACGGATGCATATGCAGAGACATTGAAACAAATAATGATTAAGAAATAGCTAGATTTATTGGATCCTATCTCCTGTGTATGGGAGATAACTTATTCAAGAAAAGTGCATTATAATTACTCTGGATGAATTTTTTGCTGCTCCAAATTTAAAAGCATTTGCTGTTGCAGGAGAAACTTTTCTCGAGTAAGAATAGAACGGAGGCTTCGCTAGGAAAGAAGTTGAAAGGAGACATGCTTGCAGAGATTGAGAAGGTTCACAAGGTATGCAATAGTGATAGTTGACCAACCTTTTAACCTTGTTGGGTTTATATGTCTTGTATGTGGTTGAAGAATAATTTTCATATATCTGCTGAGAGAATTACCATTTTTTTTTTAGGGTTTGTTTCTGTAGAAAGAATTTTATCTCATGTACTTTTATTTGCAGAGGAAAGAGAGGTTGCTGAAGAAGCAACACAGACAAGCTCTCCTCCTTGATAATTTTTTGACGGTGGATGGGCTTGGTCCAGGGCGCTCTCTTCGTGACAGAAAACCTGTAACCTACACGTTTGGTAAGGAGACAAACTTCTACACTTTGTTTTCGTTCTCCAGATAACGGTTGCTCTGGTTAAAAGCCCTAGTGATTCTTGTACTAGCCACAATAGAGGATTTAACCATTGAGATCTTGGGGGTCGTTCTGTTGCATATTGAATAACTTGATGCAGGTTATTGTTTAAAATAATAATATTAATACAATAACTAGATGCAGGTTATTGTTTCAAATTATAACAATAGAAGTGTGGCTGTTGGTGAGGCTTCGTCTTGTGGTGGTTGGGTTTTTTGGATTAAGATCAACTGATCAGATTAATGCGTTATCAAATGTGGTCTAGTAATACGAAATCCTAATGGATTGCTTGAGCAATATCCCTTGGTTACTCTTGAGAAATGTCCCTTGAATTTTATATATTGAGTTTTTTTTTTTTTTTTTTTTTTTTTGAGGAAATATCTGAGTTTTACATAAATGCTCTGGAGTTAATTGTAACTTTGGGAAGTAGAGGATGGCCTTGTCAGGGCAGGATGTTTATACTTACTGTTATTATTCCCATCTGTCAATGGATATATGGAATCTGATTGTTGTGTCAAATAATTTTGCAGATGATTATGACCGGTCCATCAATGAGGCAATCAAAGTAACCAAGTATGGATTTCATACTTCTCTCTCTCTCTCTCTCTCACACACACACACACACATGTTTTTTAATACCAATATATAGTCCTTTTGACTTATTTTTATTGTTCTTCTGTGTCAGAAAGAAACAGCCATCTCCGGACCCTTCACAGAAACGAGAGGTTGTTGGGAGGCCTGAAGCTTCTAGTAATGGTAAATGGAGTGCTGCTACAAATTCCTATGAACATGTGGGATTTAGTGCTGCATCGCCTAAATCACCTGATTATGATGACGACGATTATGACGAAGAAGATAACAAATCTGAACAATTGGATCGAAGGTGAGCAATTTTCTTCTTTTTCTTCTTCTTTAAATGTTTGTCTTCAGTATTCTTTAAATCCTTGAACTGCTTTTGTAGACTGATTTTTATTTGTTACATGTAGCAATCGGCGAAGACAGAGGCCCCAACGGTATTCTGCGAAAGAATTTGTTGAAGCAGTTTCAGATAATGACGCAGACTTTGACAGTGATGATGATATAGTTGGTGAGGCTATATATGATGAGGAATACTTAAAGAAACGTAAAGAGAGAAGAAAGTTTTCTAGTAGTTCCGAGGGAGATGAGGAGTATCATTTTGAGGAAGAAAATGCTGAAGAAGAGGAAGAAGAGGAAATGGAAGATTCCGCTAGTGCCAGCGAGGATAGTGAAGAACCCCGAAAATTGAAGAAGTTGCCAGGCCGTACTAGGAGGGAAGCTAAATTGAGATCGGTTGATGAGCTCCAGTCAGGTCTGAGACGCAGTAAGAGGGCCACCAGAAATCGTATTGATTATCGACAATATGAGTTCTCAGAGTCAGAACCAGAGCCTATGAAACCTGAGAAATCAAATGCATCAGATGAACATTATGATGCCAGTGAGAACGGGGATTATTCAATGGAAAGTCAAGAATCAGATGGTAATATTGAGGACCAAGAAATGAAAGTTGATCAGGCTGTTGAAAATTATCCTGAGACAACAGTTGAGAAAGAGCAAAACCAGCCACCTGAAAAACCAAATAGCCCAGGGAAAGAGGAAGTCGAAGGTGTACAAAAAAGACGTTTCCTCGACCTCAACGAGCTAGCCCCTGGTTCAGGTTTTGATGACGGTCCAAACACATTAATGAAAGATGATGCGGATGATTTGTGATGCGAGGCTTCCTCCTCTGCTGGATAGCAAAGGTGTGTTTCGCAAGGAAGCCCGAGTGTACGATTGTAAAATTCATAAATTTTGTGCGCTATGCCCATGGAGAAAGTTGCGGCCAGAGTTCTCCTAGGCGTATTTAAGCAGCAACAACCTTGGTTCGAGATTTGCAACAGGGTAGCGACGTGATGCAGAGAGGTATGTAGATTAGGTAGTCATTTTTTTAGTATGTGAACGTCCAAGGAAACCTATGGAGCTAGGACCGGTGAATGGAAGTTGTTTGGGAGTTGCTTAGTTCATCCGATCAATGTACAATAACCCTCAGGTAATACTGTAACTGAAAGATTTGGCCTTAGATGTTAAAAGTCGAAAGCCCTTGTAGTTTTAGTATTATTATTCTCTCTCGTGCTCATGTATCCCTTGATATAATGATTCGCCGTATGAGTTCGAGAGCATATTAGGGTTGGCTGTGTTGTAATGGAACCATCCTCCCTCCCTTAGAAGGTAACTGCTCTTATCTTGTATTCAGATTGGCTTATTTCTTATTTGTCATTTCATTTACCGGAAATTTTAGATTTCTTAGCTTTTTCTCGGCACAGTTTCAATTCGACGAAAGCATGGTGACATTTTCGGAGTCCTTTTAGGGAGCCCGGGAGTGCATTATGTACGCCAGGGCTCCCGCACTCGAGTTTATGAATGGAGCTATATTTGATAGTACATTTGGAGCATAGATTTTGTTCTATGGTGTGGTTTAGTTTAGGGATACAAATAGTGAGTTTAGAGAAATTATCGCCGTGATAAGGTTGGATTAATGTTTAGACGTAACAAATGAGGATGGTTTCTTTCTTTTTTGATAAGGTGAAATTCTAAAAATTGTGATAATTTTTTACCGTTGGATGAAATTTAGAAGGTTCAAATCTTTTGATCTGATGGTCTTGGTGGAAAAGACCTGGAGATAATCTCTTTCCAAAATCCATAAGCCAAAAGCAAAAGCCAGCTCATTCTTTGAATCCTCTGTTCCTAATTTCCAATGATGGTAAAGAAAATATCCATCATGTCACACATTAAATAATGAGGCTTACTATTTTCAAGTAAAAAGCTGTCCGATGCCCTATCACCCATCACAAAAGCAGCCTAAAATATAAAAGAACCATCCACAAACAACAAAAATGATATTTTGAAGGCAAAAGTATAGTGTCATGACACTTGCGTATCGAACCGTATTTTTTACACTAAAAACACTTTCTTGGTGATGGGTTACGAGTGCTTTCATCCATGTGATGGATTGGACTAAACTTTTGTGTCACAACTCAGCAAGTCAGTGAGATTGGAAAACGACTTAGATTGTTGCATTATTAATACAAAATGTCATAATAATAATGTGTTCGGACTGTATAAGTCGTTTTATAAAAATAAGATCTTAGTTTAGTGTGGAGTGGATGAGTATTGCGAGAGAAAGTGGTGTAGTTGCGTGGCCACTGCGTAAAGTTGCTTAAGTATCTTTCGAAATGGATGAGTTTTGAGTTCACTTTCTTTTGGAGTATGAAAGTGAAACAAGAAAATCCAAAGAGTAACAATCATCGAGCACCATGGGAACAACTCCACATAACTCACGTGGTCTTTTGTCCTTTCACCTAAAGCCACTCATTAGGCCTTTGGTACTAAAACCAAGCTCACAAATCCAACGTTCAAAGCTAAGTTTTCAATAGTTCGGATTACTGGATAGTTCGGTTTTATATCCATTAGATTAGTAATTAAGTAAAATTTCAATTTTCTCAGTTCAATTCTGACCATTTACTTTTCGTACTATTGAGTAGTCCGACCTATTGAAGAAAATTTGGAATGGTAGTATTCCAAACTAAATATACATTATCATGAATCTGATTTTTCTATTTAGTTATGAGTGATTGATTTAAAATACCGCCTCATTACTGTCTCATTTTACGAAAGTCCTTCAACATTAATGAAAAATACAAGTTGCGTCCAAATCGTAGCTAGAATGATTTTCGTTACCCACATTGCTTCCAGAAAATTTGGTATGAACTCTAAAAAGCTTATGGTGAAGGAAAATGCAACAAAAATAGGTCTCGTGATGGTTCTCGTACAACTTCACATACATTTTTATATAAAAAAAAAATTAATACAACTTTACATACATAACCGATTAAGAATCGGAGTTTGCTCGTATTTTTCCAAACGTTGACTGTGAATTTGAATCGCACACTTGAACGATAACCAAACTAGTGATAGACCCATTGACAAGTTTAGTGTATTGCTACATACATGTACTTGTAATTATAAATTCATACTAATGGGAGTCAAAACGTGTTCCAGCACTCATATAAATTTTATATTATTGTTAACCAAAAGAACTTTAAGCTTAGTTGACATATTAAACTCAAAAACCACCAAATAATCACCCAACATTGGATCCTCTCCGAGGCAAAGCCTCGGGATCCTTCTGACCCACTAACACGGATCATTGGATTTTGATTCAACGGCTACAATTATTATAATTTTAGAAGGATCCCCTATTTATAGTCATTGGATCAAAATCCAACTATCTGTGTTATTGGGTCAAGAGGATCCCGATAATTTGCCTCAGAGAATATCCAATTCCTAATCACCCACTTGCCCAAGTTGACCTAATTTCGTCGGCAACCAAAACGCTTTTGCTTTCAACCTCTTTGTTTCCTACTCCCTCCTCCGCCGCCACCTCCGCCTTGTTTGTATCAACCTCTTTGATCTGTTCATCTTTTTTCTTTGCACCTTCCTCCATCGCTTCCTCAAGAGCTTGGATAAAATTCAAAAGACATTTCTCCGGATTATCATTTGGTGATTTTGGCATGAGATTCTCAGCAACGTCGGCCGGGGTCATTTTCGTCACTCCCATCAGCTTTTCTATCTCCTCAAACATCTCATGCCTCTCAATCCTCAAGTAATTCTTGGCCAAAACCCTAAACCCATCAAAAGTACAGTAAGAAAGCTCAATGTGTTTGTCCATTCTACCCCTCCGAATCAATGCAGGATCAAGCTTCTCAACATAATTAGTAGTAAAAACAACCACCCTCTCACCTCCGCATGCAGACCATAACCCATCGATGAAGTTCAACAGCCCCGAAAGCGTCACCTTGCTGCCGCCGTACCCTTCCTCTTTCGCCTCTTTAACGCGCTCCTTCCCGGCTCCGCTACCCTTTACCTCCTCCTCCGAAAAACCCTTCTCCGCCGCCCCCCTCTTCTTCCTCTGCCCTGTCAAATCAAGCGAACAGTCGATGTCCTCAATCACAATAATACTCTTACTCGTGGTCTCAATCAATAGCTTCCTCAGCTCCGTATTGTCCTTCACCGCCGTGAGCTCCAAGTCATAAATATCGTACCCCAACAGATTCGCCATCGCGGCGATCATCGTGGACTTCCCGGTCCCCGGAGGACCGTACAGCAAGTAACCCCTCTTCCAAGCTTTCCCAATTCTTGCATAAAAGTCCTTGCTTTTGCTGAAAGTCACCAGATCTTCGATGATCTCCTTCTTCTTCTCCGGATCCAACGCCATTGTCTCGAACGTTGCCGGGTGTTCGAACACAATGTGGCTCCACATCGTCTGCTTGTAGCTCGGCCATTTGTACCCCGGACTATTTGTGTACAGCTTCCTCTGCCGATTTCTAACCCGGATCTCCTTCCCTTCATTAACGACATGGTTTAAATAGTCCGCCGTGATCATGTCCCGGTACTTTTTGTGAAAAGTCAGCTTGTAAAATCGCTTCTCCTGCTCGGGATAATAGGCCATGGACATAGATCTCCCGGCGGGGGACACGGATTTGGACAGAACCCACCAGACTTTTGCTCCACGGAAGTCGTCCGTCACTCTTTCGTACTCGTCCATGCTGAGGACGAGGTTGCTGCTGTCCTTCACCATCTCCGCCTTGAGCCGCTTGGCGCTCTTGGAGGTGTTGGAGCTCAGGTAGGCCTCCACGGCCGAGTAGGCCTCGCTCCGCTTGAGGCGGTCGCCGGTGAACTCGTGGATGGAGATTTTGATGTAGGGGTAGAAGTAGCCCGTGACTCTGTGGGAGTATCGCTCCAGAAAACGGCGCAGCTCGTACGGACAGTACTGGCGGATGATTGCCCAGATGAACATGAAGCTAGCTAGGGTTGAACCCATTGTTGCCAACATCTGCTGGCTCATCATTGTTGGTGGCAACATTTCTGGGCTTGCTCTCGAGTTTGAGATATAATAATACGTATATATTGGTGTATATATAGGTCTTGGGAGTGGGATGGGACTGTCTAGGGTTTCACTGGCCGAAGGCTGCACCTTTTCTTCATTTGTTTTTGTGTTTGATGATTAGAACGGGGACTGTGAATACAAGGGGTAGGTAGATAATGCGATGAGGATGCTGCAGGATTAGGACAACCTCTACTTTTGAGGATTACATTGATGGTGGGTCTACGTGGAGTCTGCTTTGCACATAAAGTATTAAAATTTTCAACGGATTAAATAAATCGAACGAAAACAACATTTAAATAAAATAACAGTATTTGGGAAACTAAAAAAATGTGTTTTTATCATTTCTACCAAATTCTGAAAGTGCAGAAATTGCATGGGAGCTGACTAATCTAAAAGCTAAAATGAGTCAATTATTGGACACGTGTTGTGCAATAAGACGCTCACAAGAAAAAAGTGGGTCTCACTGAGACAGAATTTTTAATATGCTTGGAATCTGGATAATATGTTATATGTTATTATTAAGTGTACGAATACTTCAAAAATTTGATGCATATCAGTAAAATTTGATATAAATAGTTGATCTCGCTAGTATTATTCTAAATAAATAAAAAAAATACTGAGATATAAAAGAAGCCAGAGGTGTGGGGCCATTGTTGTGCGAAGGAAATTGTGTGTCCCGCACGTTCAGAAAATTAGCGTGGGATATTTGGAAATTTTTTGTTGTAATCGGAACATGAGTAGTATATTACGTGTTTTATATAAATGATGAAAAATTTTATTTGTTAAGTTATTATATTACATTATTTATATAATAACACTCACATTAAAAAATCTCTCGAATATTTGAGTACGGGCCCCGTCTTATGGCCAGTTTTTTGTGCTGTCTTAGTCTCCACCAAGTAAAAGTGTTGACTCTTCCGGCGAGCCCTTGTTTGCCTGTTTGACTGTTTGGTGGAGTGGTTTTAATGGCTGGAAGAGCATCCTCGGATTCACTTTACGGGATTGTAGGGATTTTTACATTTTAATCGTCGTATATTGTGTAATTAGTTTTCGTCAGATATTATTTGTATATAATTTTAAATAAAAAAAATTCAAATAATTTATAACCGTATAATACATAATAAATAACTAAAATATAAAGATCCATAAGATTCTTACGAAATGAATCGGGATGGAACCTAATTCCTTAATGGCCGAAGGGAATATCAGAGTGACTTTGATGAATTGTTTATGAAATAAAATGAGAAAAATAAGAAAAGTTGGTCAGAACAGTTAATTTGCTTTACATGTTGTACATTGTATGCCATCAATCAATGAATGTCCTTTTAACTGTTGTTAAATGGATAATACTTTGGGGAATTGGATTCTCTTGGAGGCAAAGCCTCAAAATCCTGCTGGCCGACCAATACGGGAACGGCTATAAATAGGAAATTTCTCTAAAGTTATAATAATTATAGTCGTTGGATTAAAATTTAACGACCCGTGTTGTTCAGTCAGGAGGATCCCAAGGCTTTGCCTTGGAAATGATCCAATTCCCTTGCATTGCATCTTCGAGATTGAGCTTTCGTCAAATATGAGTATTGATAATGAATCTTATATTGATGAGAGAGATTTTGCATGTGTTTGTAAGTACTTGGATTGTTTCTCATATTGTCAATTGATTTTATGATGGAACTTTAACTTTTTCATGATAACAGGACAGGTTGTCCTACCTGTAATCCCAACGGCTACACGTGCTCCACATCATCCAAGCTGTGTTGTCCACTTGTTAGACTTAAAAATTCGTCATATATGAGAGAGTCTGTTGAAAATAAATCACACATTGACGAGCGCTCTAAAAAGAGCAACCTCTTGGTGCATTTTGAGTCATTCTAGCCTTTCGTACTCTACTCGTTTGGAAATCTTACCCTCCTGTTCTTATACTGCACTCGTATTCTACTCACAATTAATCGCTTGTTTTACTCGGACAACATTAAACAATCGTGGCATAGTTGTTAGGTAAATTACCTGCACTAGTACAAGTTTTGTAAGTAAATGACAATGTTTGCCATCGTTTGTTTCGGAATCTAACCGTAGGGACAAAAGTGATGAGTGAGTCAATTCATAAATAATTGATGAGTTTAAAATATAACAAACTAAACCGATAAGTTCATAAAACATAAAGGACCATTGTGATAAAATCCGTTCTTTTTTCTCAGCAACAATTTGAGGCTAACTATATTTTCACACTCTTGAAGCTTGGGGTGATTTTCAAACAGGCCATGAAGTTTTAGTTTTCTTATTGTACACCATAAGGTATTAAAATTGTACAAATTTATACATTTGATCAGATTGATTGTTTGACCCTTTATAGATTAAAATGATTACCTGGTTAGCGTGTGATCTTTATATAAGCTGACATATAAGCCACATTTCTACCACATTAATAAAAAAGATCGCCAATTTAATAGAAGATTAGATTTCCTCTTCATCGGCATCTAACATGAATCTTGATGCAGACGAAGAGGAAGATAGCAATGAAGATTATCTTCCTAACATACGGGAAGACTCTGAAGAAGTTGTTGATGTATTGCCCTCAATTCCTTTTGTGCCATTGCTGAATGAAGCACATATGAGCTCGATTGGAAGTGTTTTTCTATTATTAAAAGCGATTTTGGTAAAAATATTTTTGAAATCAATCCTTAATAAATGCAAGTGAATCATGGGAAAGCACTTAAAGTGCTTCCTGTAAGAAGCACAAAACACTTTAAGTGCTTTTGGAACTCATAAATATTTTCTGTAAAAGCACTTTCAGTCATTTTAAAAATATTTTGAAACAAGTCTATGCCAATGCTTGTGAATTCTTTGTAAAATAGTGTGACAAAGCTTAGATATTTACAAGCGATATTATAAAATAATATAAATTATGGATTAATACTTTTTGGAATTCCAAAATGATCTCTTCTCTTTTATCTTCTCTAATCTTGCCTTTGGAATTAAGAGAAGGCCAATGTAACGCTCACCAATTACTTGTTTTACAAGACAACCAAATATTTGATTAAGCCCTTTGTGGATTTATGTGGCCATGGATTTGCTTTACATGTTTCGTGGTCGTGCAGTGCAGTACATGAAGAGGGACATAACCCTGTGCACATTTGGAAACATGGCTCCATGCGTTTGGGTTGACGATGTTAGATGTTATCATGCAAAATCAATTTTCGTAAAAGCTGACAGTCATTCACGCAAACATTGACGACCATCCTAAAGTACAGAGGTCTAAGCATACATATCAATGTCTAGTTGGCCTCCCCCATCTCCGACCAAAAAACTAGGCAATATTGTTTCCCAGCACCTTGGACCCTGCAATTGTTAGGCAAACTCAACATGTTTGCTCGAATATTGAGCTCCAAATCTCGTGTCTGTCCTTGACCCCAAACAAAGGAAGTTCTCTTGTGTCTGTCTGCGCTAGCCTTTTCTTCTCGATTTTTCTTTTTTCTCGACAATTCGAATGCAGTTACAATACTCCAGTGACTTTAATTGCCTCCAATATTAATAGATTAAATTTAAGTAATAATAACATATGATCTGTTTATATACATCTCACTAGTTCATTTCACAACTGCACAAAAAATATCTAGGTGCATTTGTTAAGACCTCACATGGCGGATGGCGATTTGTTGAGGAAAAAGCAGACGACAAAGGATCTCAGTAACAAATCAATCACTCGTGTGGAAACATTGCATGTATTTGTAACGTATAATAACTCACATGGGAACAAAATCACCAAATCTGGTTAAATACGAGAATTTTTTCAGTGTGACAATCACATTAAGTGTTATGGTTAAGGATAACATGTTACTTTGCAACCGTCATGCTATAGCAATGCATCTCGGCTTTAAAATTACAATAAATTACTACAGCCATGGAGAAAAATCAGTAAAATAAAGACACTTATTTGAAACTGTTTTTACTTTTACAGTTTCACCATATGTCTTGAAGTCTGAAAGAGGCAAGGGAAGCAAAAAGAGAGAACTGCAAATCTTCCAGTCATGAAATAAGCAATCAAATAATTTGGACCCTAATTTGGGCAGCTAGATACTAATGAAGGAAAACCCTAATTCATTCTACTTACAACGAAATAAAAGAATTCGAAAAATAAAAAGCTAAAAAAAAAAAAGGAATTCCTAAACGCTTCATAAAACAATAAGATTATAAATACTACACTTCCTGATGCTGCACATTATTGATTGCTAATTGTTCCTACTTAGTTTAACTATGATCATCACCTTCAATTTCTAGGGCTGCAGATTCTTGACACATTCCTCGTTGGCAAACCAGTTCGGTATTATTTTTGCCAGATGAGGATGCAGGTCTCTGTAGGAATTCTTGATCGTCCGCTTCAGCAACTCGAGTAGCAACAGAGATATCTGCAACAAAACAAAATTAATACAGGCTTTCCCAAGAGAATAATCAATAGGTCACATAGATTCCTAACCTTTAAGTGACTTTTTCTCATCCAATAGTTGATTGATGGTATAAATAACGGCAGCTGCCACCGATATAGGGCTCCTCCTGCAGAAGTGAGGACATTAATTCTATGAATTTGAAGAAAAACCATTTAACGCTGCTAATGCTCTGATTGGGTTGAACTGAAAGATTTGAAATCCAGGGATTTTGGTTTTGTACATTTTCCAGTGGATTGAAGTATTCACAATACTTCAGTATCCAAAATTGCATCCGGGGAAGGAAATTCTTCGACTTGGTCTAAGAATATCCGTTACTGCGAAACATCTAAGGACTCTCCTCTTGTCGGAGTTATGACATAGAGTTCAAGCTAAGAAGGTCATGAATTATGCAACAAGATTGTTGTGAACTGGTGGAGGAGTAATCCAACACAGTGTTAGTGTTTATTTTCTAGTAAACATGGTACTACCAACCTTATAACGAGCTCTTCAGTGTTCTGCACCATTTCTTGGGCAGCCTTGACATCTCGATTCTTCATTCCAAGATTGGAACAGAAGCGTCTCTACAGAGAAAATGCGATAATTATGTTCTCAAGCAAAACACATCTCCAACAAGGAAATAAAATATTGACACGCAAAGAGACGGAAAAAATGAAAAACTCACCAAATAATCTTCAGCATGGATAGTTCCCATTTCCAGACCAAGCTCGGCCTCCATGTGTTTCCAGATGAACTCTTTTGCC